GGCTAAACCTGAGCTCTGCCAAGGAAATAATTTTTAAAGAACCACAAGCAACTGCAAGCAAAGGAGCAAGACCCCACCCCCAGTGTCCCCCCTACATACACTCACACAAGACCCCTTTTGCAGGGAGAGATGAGCACTGGGCAGAGTGAATGCTGCCTCTTTAGGGGCATCATGATCGCTCCCAGGAGCATCAGCTCCTGGCTAGCAACTCCCTAAGACCTGCTGGCTTCCCGGAGCTGCCTGGCCAGCCAGGATCCACTGGGATTTGGACATTACTCCTCTCCGTGCAGGTGCTGCACAAAAGCCCCCCAACCTTCCCAACACACACACATACCTCATCCCCCCATCACCACCACCTTCTACCTCCATCAGGTGGAGAGCAGCTCCCAGGGCCAGCGGGCCTATGTGCCAGCCCCGCACGGCCATCAGCTCAATCAATCCATCCCTGCCGGAGGAGCTGGGTGCTCCCCATCCCTGCTTAAGCGAGCCCTCCCTTTACCAACCCCCCTCTGCCCACAGCCAAGGCAAGTCGCAGCAAGGCAAAGAAATCCCAGCAGCAGCAAGAGCAAGCAGCAAAGGCAAGCAACAGATGCCTCATTTAATGCGATGTGGGTGTCTTCCAACAGGCAAACAAACCAGCACAGAGGTGGTGGCAAGGGATGGAGGGGGAGCGAAGAAGAGGAAGGGGGAGTGCAACTTTCAGCTTCCCATTGCAACCACGCTGAGCTGGACACGCAAATCCCGGCTCGGGAATGAATGACTCTTTCTTAGGAGAGTTGTGTGTGGCCCGGGGGGGGGGGAGTGGGGCTTGCTCCATGGGACATGGGTGGCCTTTGGGGGCAGAAGAACCGGGCAGCAAGCCCGCCAGCCCCGGGAGGAGCGGGGCCATGTGCCCCCAAGCTTGGGGCCGGTGGATCGGAGGGGAAGGGGCAGAGCCGGGGATGCCAAGGCAGCTGGAGGGGCTGACAGAGCCCAGGTCCAGCCATGGGGGTGGGACAGAGGGACCCTGCCCCCGGCACTAGCCCCGACCTCGGGGGGTCCCTTCCAGCCCGACTCCTCCAGGAGCCTGCGATCCGCCTCCCGGGAGCCTGGCTGACTTCCTCCTGCAGGCGGCTGCTTAACTTTGATGCCACCATCCACTCCAGTGCCACCCGCAGCCCCTCTTACCGTAAACCCCCTGGCCCCTGATGCAGGCGGGGACCAGAGCCAGGAACACCAGGCAGATCCTCTCCATCTTCAAGGCAGATCCTTCATCGCCGGCGGAGACGAGCAGCCCAAATCCGCCCCAGGCAGCATCCGGCGAGCGGCGCCTCCAGTGCTCCTGCATGCACAGCCCCCCCAGCCGGGCGATCCGCTGGAAGGGGGGCAGAGAGGCAAGGGGGTGCCCCCTGCCCGGCTCCTGGGGGGTCTCCAAGGGCCTCCCCCTAGCCCCAGCCGCTGGATCCGGCAATGCGAGCCGCCGAGCCTCTTCCCAAAGTGGCTGCAAGTGGGGCCAAGTTGCAGGAGTGGCTCCCTGCCTGGCTGCTGCCGAGACTGGCTGCGTCCCCGGGAGCCGCGAGGGGGAGGCAGGAGGCGGC